AAATGACCAATGTGACTTCAACATCTGGCTGACCTAGTTTGGCGCGTCTATGGAAAATAATTATTAAAGTACGGCTGTGCGTAATCCCGATGTGGGCGTAGTAGCTGCGTCATCAGACGGTTTAACGTAGCCGGAGCATCAGAAAATTCTTGGGGCATCACCAGCCATTTTCGTATCATACCACTAGAGGTGCCCAATGCTGTAAGCGAAATATTACTCACTCGAAGTTGCAATCAAACACGCCGATCGACACAGTCGAGTGCGCTATACATAGTACAACTAATCATTTGTTCAAAAGAACAATCTTTTGAGGAACAGGTGTGGGTGTTAAAATTAAACCCGCATATGGTTGCCATTCGTATAGTGCGTTGAAAGCCCGTGCTTCGATTTAAAAATCTCTCATTCGGCTCGAATCAAAACTTCTTTCATGAAGATCTAGAGTAATTAGCACCAGTGTATAGTTTAAGCGTTCAGGAGCTAAACTCTATCTTTCCGGTATTACTTTTACGTTGGCCGCAATAGATGACAACATGGCAACGCGGCAATGTGACAGGCCGGCAGGTCCAAATTGCGCAAATCTGGTAGCTACTGTATATGGGCAACCTGTCCTGGCACTGATCGATAAGAGCCGTGCATGAGCATTTTTAACGTATTCCATGGCAGCAAAGGGTATGGAATTGAAGTTGCCATACCTGAACGGTGGGTGCTTGCGCGCGGCAGATTTTATCCCAAACAGTACATCCCCGCAGTTGAAGCTATCCGGGAACATCGTTTAGCCCAACCACCACAGATTATGATGCCACACTTTAAAGTTTTCGTGTAGCACGTCAGAAGCCCGTTGTTTAATTTAGACTCTTAGATTCGGCTTAAATTAGAACTTCTTCAATTAAGATCTAGAGTAGTCAGCAGGAGTGTATAAGAGCGTTCAATATTTGTACTCCATCTTTCCAGTCTTAGGCTTCCTTTAGCCGCTATAAATGACAGCATACCAAAGTAGCAAGGTAACAGACAAACAGCTCCAGATCGTGCAATACCAGACAGCTACTGCATAGAGGTGACCTGCCTGGTAAACAACCGATAAGGGCTATGCAACAACATTTTTACCGTATTTGACGGCAGAAAAGGGTATTTATTTTTTTGTATGTGAACCGAAGTCACTTGCGCGCGGCAGAGCTGACCCTGTACAATATACTCCCCCAATTTCTATCCGGGAACATCAGTCTAGTTTAAAAGAACACGTTTTATGAGGCCACACTTCGAATAGTCGTATAGCGTGTTGAAGGCCCGTTTTTGTCGGTTTATATATCGCTCATTCGTCTAGAATGGGAAATTCTTTTATGAAGACCTAGAGTAGTCAGCAGGAGTGTATAATGAGAGCGTTCACAACTTATACTCCATCTTTCCAGTCTTAAGCTTCCCTTGGCCGCAGTATATGACAACATACAAAAGCGGCAATCTAATAGGCTGAAAGCTCCAGATTGCGCAGTCCTGTCAGCTACTGCTTTTGAGCAACTTGTCTTGGTACGGATCGATGAGAGCCATGCAGCAACCTTTTTATTGCATTTAACGGCAGCAAAGGAAACAGAACTGACATATTTGTATAGCAATTTACAATGATCTGGTAAGGAATGCAAAAAAGCAGTTTAAACGTATGAAATAGAGTGGAGGCACTCTCGGATACTTTTCGTAGAAACGGCAATACTTATGATACGACTATGATTGTGAAAGGAATTTTACTCACCTGTTATATGCTCAAAAAAATTAGGAGCACTATTATGCACAAATATCCACACGCGATTCTGATTTGTACCAACCTAACTAACATTTGTAGCATGTTAACATCAGCACAAAGCACTATTTACACTTTATTCTCCGTAGCCTTTTTTTAATTGAGGATCAAACGCGTTAAATTCTACGAAAGGCTGCAAGATTATTGCGAGTTTCTTATTCTTCCACAGCCCGAATTTCATGTCTCTTGCTATCCACTTGAATACAATTACAATCTATTACGCATATGGTCTAATTGCTGCTAATCAAATCAATATCACAATTGACGAACAAAAAAGTTGTTGGCATGTTAGAAAGAATTTGCTTAAAAGTTGCCGCCTTAATTCATTGGGAAGGTTTGATTAAAGTATAAAGGATTGGAGTGAGGTTGGTACAGGTAGCGGTGTCGGTTATTTTGCTTGATCACTCGTGCTTGTCCCCGTTGTAAATAGTGCGATAAGATACGGAAGCGACATGGACTCAGTGATGGGGTATTTCTACGTTCAGGTTTTTAAAAAAGAGGGGTTTTAAGTACGTAACACGCCAGTCAATTCTAAGGATCACCCGCTTTTATTCCGCATGGTCAAACAATTTAGCAAATTTTAACAATGTAAACTCGTCATGAGTGGAAGGGCTCATGCTGCACTAAAATTGTACCTCAAGTTATTTGCCAAGGACCTATGTGATGTTTAATAAAAAATGAGCTTGATGTAATCAATTATGTGGAGCTTTTACCGGTGGTTGTGCCGATATATTCGCGAGCATAAGTATTGCCGGATTTTCTCATCTGTCCTAAGATACGCATTAATAAGAGTTCAAATGCAAATAATGCTACTAAATAATTAAAAAGGCGTCGGCTGATATGTTCTGGAGCATTAGGCACCACATTTAGTATGCTATGCTTGTAGAAATTTTCAGTAAAGACTCTTTAAGGGGGTACATGATATCGTCGACTTCCAAGAGCATTGGCTTATTCGCGTATGGTGTCATCCAATACTAAATGATCAGTGCATCTGGGATCGAAAAATGCATATAAAGAGTTACTGAATCTATTGTTGAATCCGAAATACCAACGTACTTTTATCTAACTCCCCATTAACAGCTATCCACACAACGCCGGGTTCAGAGATAAGTTTGCAATATTTTTTTGGTTGCGAATTTCAGCTAACTTGAGCTATCCTCGTACAATGATGTAGCTCACCTCAGAAATGCTTCACAATTTAAATTGGCTAAAGCGGCTCTTGACAAGGAGAGTTGCGTATAAAGTTAAGGGAGTGCGCCACAAAATACCAGAGCTTGCCCACAAAGCGACATGCAGGAAACTTTATTTCTGGTGATACTACTAATTTTGAGTTCTTATACGCAGACTTTGTCATTATAAGATCCAGCGAAATGAAAATGAGGCAGATACAAGTCACAGCTATATATAGATAACAAAATGACTGTTAGACACTGGACTTTTCCTACTTTCCCGATAATTTGTATCTTTTCTATCGCGTTGATGTTCTACAACGGGCCAATACTATTCTAAGTAAACCGGAAGAAACAATCAGTTATTATTTAGAACCAAGCGATGCCTTGCATCATGATAATAAAGCCATTTATCTCGATCTAAGTAGATGTAGAAAAATCTGATGTGATGCACGCCGAAATATAGACGTTTGCTTAGCGTTTTTTAAAAAACGTCTGCGAAAAGCTAAAAGCGGGAGGTAATTTTACAGTAAAGGTAAATGTTTTTAAACACCACCTTCAGCAGTATCTAATAAGAAACCAGAACATGGTCGAAGAGCTCGTCTACTTATTGAATTCGCAATCGAAAGCAATAAGAAATTTCAAGTTTTTGACTTACACCTTCTTGTACATGACTAAAGATAGACCTCTTTGGCACAGCTTCTAGCTGAAAATGATCTTGTCGTTCAATCAGGTAAATTTTTCCAGGAAATTACAACATACGCAAAGAAAGAAGGTCGTGTGCGAGGTTGGATGGGTTTCATTATGCAGATAGATAATCTGCCCTAAAGTAGCTGACAAGTTATAGTTTTCAGCCTTAGATGACTAATAAATTGTTTTTGGGTTTCCCTTCCTTGGCGTCAGCTCACTTCTTGTTACAATTTTGACTGGGACTATGTCGCAGACGTCTATGTAACTAAAGCTTTTCTATCGCGGTGCTGCCTCCATACCTCACAATGCTGATTTACTGCTGAAACTTTTCTCTTTTCGCTAAAAATCTCTTGGTAATGACGTAGCAGTTACTCGAACATATTAAACTGTCAAACTCCTCGCGGGCTAAAAAACAACGAAATGATATAAGCACTTTGGACAGCTTGATCACAAAAACTATAAAATTAGGCGGTAGAGACTTTACTTGAGTTTCATGCTTGATGTTCAAAGTCTTTTCCTTGACCGCTTGGGGTGAGTTATGTGTTCAATGGCACTGATACACATTTTCTGGCGGCCTGTGGTCACGCAAACGTCCAACATCTCGCTCGCCTTCACCACCTCCGGAACTAAAACATAATCTCACTGTCTGTGATCTTGGAGATAGGTACCGTAATTGTATTATTTACTAAAAGAAGAGATCGAAGCATCCAGTATTATAAACGGTACATATCGACATTGCCACCTGCGATGTAACGGGGCACCCTTTGTCTGGGTGCCGCGAAACTTCACGTATACTAGTACGAGCAGAGGAAGCTAATCTACTTGAACGACTCGGTCAAGTAAAGGTAAAAAGAGAGCTGTATTTAATATAGTTAAGCTATCAATATAACTTTAATCTTTATCTAACAATGTTAAACTACGCCGTCGTATGGCGACAACCTGCTCACCACTCATTGCGCGCGTCTAGCAGCGATTGGTGGTAATCTATGGTTGATAAGTCTTTTATCAACCAAGCTTGGGCAGCGAATGAATATTATCCAATAGGGGATAATGTTCCTTCAATGTTACCCATCCTGGATAATATCGGTAGAATTTTGTCATACTAGACAATATTCCTATTGACACCGTTTGGTGTCAATTCCACGTAACGGGCTACCCCGTTACATCACCCCCCCTTAACCATATATCACCCGTTGATTGAAATGGAATTGTTTGGGACAGGGTGACCACCGTTGAATCACTCTGGGAAAGGGAGCACTTGTCGGTCAAATTCCATTAATTTGCCAATCCAACTTTTGGTTTTAAAAACCACGCGAGCTGCTACTGCAGCAGCAACAAGAGCGGCTGCACACATGCGTGCGGCCGCGAAAAGTGCCTCTCACGTCTCAGCAGCAGGCAATTCGTCGCCTGTTGTCGTGGATCGTCCACGTGGTGAGTCACCACGAGCGACAGGTCATCCGTTGCGTCTGCAGCGGGTACCTCGGGTCGTAATTAAGACGATTCTGAGATAGAGCTCATCTATTCTGGCGAGTCGGATGATGCATCCGACTCGAAGGCGACTCCATACGCCTCGGGATCACCCGGGGTGGACACTGCAAAAGCCAGGCTGACTGGATCTGGTCAGCGCGGCAGCTTAATGACCAAAATCTTCGGATCGAGTGATTACTCCGATGAGTCTCCGCCTCGCGCGAGCTCATCCAACGATAGGACGCGTGGTGATGGCGGTGATGCCTTTAAGCATCACCACGGGCGAAGTAACTCGAGGGATCGAGGTAACACTGGTGCCAGTGCTCATGCTGGCACCAATCAAGAGGCCAGGGACCGGAATGTCCTGCGCCACGCTCCTTAAGTGGAGTCTCCGTGGATGCCGCCATCCAGAGAGTTGGACCGGTTAGCCGGAACGACTACCGAACGGGATCAAATCCCGTTGTTCGATTGCAGGAAGATTTTTCCACCTGATTTCAGCACGGAAACTATCCGTGCTGAGGAAGAATTCTTCACCGATGCGTTCTTCAAACATTGGTGGTACAATAGCAGCCGTGTGCGAGACGGCAAAGCCTTGGTGCAGGGATGGAATGCCCTCATCCATAACATCGTGTGCATTGGCCGTGAGACCTGGATCAATAAACTTGATGCAGCTCGCATCAGGTTTGAGAAACGCAACCCAGTCGGGGCGCGGTACAAGTTCCACCGGCTGTCAAGAGAGGCAGGATTACCCTGTCTCTCAAGGAATGATTCGTGTCCAGGTTTCCTGGACAATTCGAACCGTGCTCCTAGGGAGGCCTACTTCCCTAATGTTCCCTACTGGAGGGTGCGCATCTCTTCCGAGATGGCCAACGGGAACGACACCTTGCAATCCCTGTACTCGCGTTCAGGGAGGTCGTTTTCCGACGGCCCTTCTTCAAATGCAGCAATTGGGTCTCGTCGCACTGCTCGGCGATACCAAGGACATTAACAATCAGCTGGGCACGAGGATACCAGATGTCCCAGGCCGGTGGATAGCCACGCCAGCGGACGAGGTAACTCGTCCGGACGCTATTCACATCGCGGTGGTTCAAAAGGCGCTCCATTAGGAAGCATTGAACACCGCTTGAGTCCACAAATGGATGTGGTGGCGGTGGGAACACCTGATCCGGCTCGAGGGTCGGGTCAGCTTGATGTTCAAGAGCTGGACCGTCTCATGGAACAGTTGCAAGATGACCTGGCTCATGAACGATCTCGGCGTAACGGGCTTGAGGATCTTGTGAGGGATAATTTTAATTCCTTAACGCACGATCGCTCGGACGATCGTGCCACTTTTGCGTTCGCTCAACTTGAGAACAAACATTCGACGCGCTTTTTTCGTGATGAGCTGGCTGCTGCTCGTCGACACATCGCTGAGCTGCGTGAACAGGTCGCTTCGCTAGTCGACCAGACTGGTCCGTTGAAACGGGACCACTTAAAAGTGGTCTCGGCTCTCGACCGTAGAGGTGTTCTTCGCATCTCGAAACGGGCTCGTACGGATAGTAAGGGCGGAGATGACCGACATAAAACGTAGGATGAGTACGCATCTTACGGGGCAGTTCAATCGTGTATGCGTTGCCCATTCGGCGCAACACACGAAATGGACCGATGTACTTGGGCAGTAATTTACAGCTGCCCAAGTTTGTCACTGCGTGTTTTGGTAGATTTACTGTAGACAGTAAAACTAGTCTCCTTTATCAAATGAAAGAGCATTTGCTCTTCCTTGTTTGTCGGCATTTTTCTCCTGTCCGTCTAGTGCATCTGCAAAAGAGTCTTTAACGAAGCGGACAACCGCTTCTCGAGTCAGCAGAAATTTCTCTGATGATTTATCCTTGTCAATAGCAGTGCGCTTCGTGTGCACTGCTAAAAGAACGTTGTCTTTACCAGTGAGGGTATCATCGTCCTCACATTGGCAGTCATTGGCGATGCTAAATATTACAGATTCATCGTCATCATCATCATCGACATCATCCCATCGACATCGGCATCCATCACGTCGACAATATCGTCGACTGATGATGAGCAAGAAACAGATCGGGTTTTGTTCGAGCGAGTCCACCCCCCCCTTAAACTAAAGTCACACTCCAAGAAGGCGGGTAAACGTGGATGGCGTAGGCCATTCGCGAAGATCGGTGTATGCGTTTTAGACGCGTGCACCAAGTTGGTGATAGCGAACTCCGTCAACGGCAAGAACTCACTCCAGCTCGTAAACGAGTGGACATACCCTTGAAGTATCTCTTCGAGAACGCGGTTGACGCATTCCGTTCGACCATCTGTTTCGGGATAGTCAGAAGTTGACATCGTCAAACGTGTTCTAAGTAAACGGAACACGGATTGCCAGAACTCCGCTGTAAAGCGGGGGTCCCTATCGGACACGAGTTCACGGGGTAACCCGTGAAGTCGGAAGATAGTATCAATGAAGACACGCGCACATCCCTGGGCTGCGATTGACTCCGGTACAGCAACAAGATGTACCATCTTGCTGGACCAATTAACAAACACAAGCATACCAGTATTCTTGTAAACGTTTTCGGGAAATCCAAAGACGTAGTCCATCGATACGGAATGCCGACACTCTGCCGGAATCGGAAGAGGCTGTAAGAGTGCGCAGGATGAAGGACTAGGATTCACCCGTTGACAAACTTCGCAAGCGCGGATGTATTTCCGTACAAACCCATACTGGCGGGACCAGTAAAATTCACGGCTTACTCCGAGGTAAGCCTTTTCTCTACCGCAATACCCACTTGTTGGGGCATCGTGACACTCGTACAAGATGCGCAATCGCAAATCGTTGTGAGCCGGAACGACGACACGAGGTGTGTCGCCGTTGACTGCTGTATAATACAGCAGTCTATAACAAGCCGAATACCGTTCGGTTGCAGAGTGGCAATGAGACGTCAAGCTTTCAAAGCTTGACGGCATGCGTTAGACGCGTAATCCATCAACAGCAGAAGAGACTCATCTTCTGCGTATGCTTTTCGCACATTGTCGAGCAGATTCGACGACGGAACACTCACTGTTAGTGTCGCGACAGTGGGATCACCCCTACTGTTAAGTTGAGCAGTCGGCTCGAAATCGGGCCGACGCGAAAGAGCATTAGCGACGACATTAATTCGTTCTGGTTTATACTCGACGGAGAAGTTGTACTCCGCGAAGAAAGACAGCCACCTCGCCATTTGTTGCAAGAAAAGTGGACTGTTTACGGCCGTGCGTAACGACGCATGGTCGGTATCAACAATGAAGGTCCTATCTCCTAAGAGATATACCCGAAACTTGGCCAGGGCATATTTGATGGCAAGGAGTTCCTTGTCATGCACCGGGTAGTTGCGCTCAGCTTCTTGCAGCTGACGCAATTGATAACCGACGACGCGCTCGACGCCGTCTGATTCGTACTGCATTAATGCGCAGCCTATTGCAAAATCGCTGGCGTCACAGACCACATGAAACGGTCTATCCTGATCTGCAATCGCCAACACAGTCGATTGCACTAAGCTCTTATTGATGCCTTCAAAAGAGTGCTGACACTCAGCGCTCCATGGCCACCTCTCGTTTTTCTTTAGCAGACGAGAGAGATGTACAGTCATCTCGTCATAGTTGCTCGAGTATTTGTGCAAATACACTACCAGGCCAAGTAACTTTCGAAGTCCCTTGACGTCGACTGGCGCAGGCCAGATGCTAATCGCCTTGATCTTTTCCGGATCAGGGAGTGCATCGTTTTAACCCACAATGCAGCCAAGAAGTGGTATTTCGTTCGCTGCAAATTTACACTTCTTGAGGTTCGCGAACAACTTATGCGTGAGCATAAGTGTAAAAACTTTCGGGACGTGGTATATATGAGCCTCCACGTCCGTCTTTCATACCATAGCCCGGCTATGGACGAATACATCGTCAAAGCAACTCGGTGCAAAATCTCGCATTGATTACAACAGATTTGTTACACATCTGTTGTACGTTGCAGGGGCGTTACTTAGCCACTATGGCATCACTAGCCACTCCCAGAGCATACCGCTGCGGGTGCTCACTGCTGTGTACGGGATGTCCCGTTCACGCGTGCGAATATGATAGAATCCGTCCATCAGATCCATGAACGATAAGATGTTACTTTTTTCCGTACCATCAATGATGACGTCCTTCCTCGGTATCAGCGTTTGAGCCAGTACCGTTGCAGCGTATAATTTGTTGAACGCGTGCACTATCCGCAACCCTCCTGTGGCTTTTCACACACAGAAGGATGGAGAGCTGTGCAAGGATGTTGATCCCTCACATGACCAGCCGCTAATCGATCGGCAAAGAATTTGTCGATCGCTGTGACCTGTTCGCAAGGCGTTGGCCACTGCTTTATGAAACAGTATTTCGAACCAAGTTTCAGTTCGATCTCATGCCGAGTGCCTTGGTCTTTGGGCAGCTCGCATGGCACGGATTCCGGCAAAACTTCCCTGAACTCAATTCAATTAAATCCTTATACAAAGGATTTGTCATCAAAGAATCTCAAGATTGAGACGTGTATCGCTCAATCCGGGTCATCTCTTCAAGGACACTCTCATTCATCGATGAGATACGGAGAACCCGTTCGTTATCAGCAAACGCTTGTGCCGACCGAATATCGGCGACGTACTCTTCCTCTGTGACGTGTACGCATATCTGCTAGATCTTGTCACTACGCAGATCTCGCAAGAATCTTTTAGATTCTTACTTTGGCAACTTGACCACCTTCGAAGCTGATTTTGTGGGCGTCACCAGATCAAGTGTATAAGCGCCTACACTTGATCCGTCATTTGCCAAGACATTCGCTGACTCGGTGATTTCCTAAGAAAACACATCCGCAGGTGGTTAAAAATCCATACCCTCAACATAACTCTCCCGGGAGTAATTGCTCTCAGGTACACCGGAATTTCTTCCGTTACGGGTACTATCACGCTCACGTCCTCTTCGATCGACTCTCTTTCAGTCGAGCGGGCTTGCTCTACGATCGACTCTCTGATACTCGATCTTGCTTCAACGTGTTGTCCATCTTGAACAACACTAATCTCTCTTCTCGTATGTGCCCTTCTTGGTGTGCATCCGTGTTACAGTCCACTCGATCTCTTCGAGTGGTGAAACTTCGGCGCAGCCTGTGTCTCTACACAGGGGCCGGAAGCTGGTTCCTTAGTTTCTTGGCCTTCTACACTATGATCTTGTGCAGTCGCACTAACGACCGTACCAAAAGTGATGCCATCGCACTCACTCGTAGTACACCTACACGCTTGTGGACGCTCCGATACGTTCATCAGATGGCCATCTGATGAGCAAACGTCAGGTATCTTCACGGATGTATGCTGCCAGCTAGCCCATGGCCGGTACTTTCTATGCCATAGCAGACCAAGGATGATATCAAATTTGTCATCCAGATCCAGTACGATTTAGTCATATTCCTACTGCCTTCCTTCTATCGTGTAGTGGATTCCCACTGCACGTTTGTTCACTGTTACGGATGCGCCTGTAGCAAGGCATACCGTCATCCTCGTTGGAGGGAACTCTCGCTTAACATAGTTGAGCGTACCATTTACTAGCGAGTGGCGTCGAATAAGACTATTCGACGCCCCACAGTCAACTAGGGCGCGAAGTGAAATTCCACTTGTCACTTCGATTTTAAAAGTGATGAGGGACAGCTCATCACTAGGGGGAGTAACACACAGAGACTGCGTGTTGGGAGCAATCTTCGTCAAGAGTCCTGCAAATCCTGTTGACATTGCTGGATCAGCAGGGTGCTCCGCCCCTACTGACCCGGACCGTTCTTGGCGGTCCGACTTGCTGTCGCAGCTCAGCGACGTGTTCGGACCCGCGACTTGGACCCTTCCTCGGCCAACGGTGGTCACCACGTCCTGTTTTCGGACGTGTCGCAGTGCTCGGGACACTACACTCATGAGTTGTGTCCAATCTTCTGACAGCAATGGCATCTTGCCGCTCGCTTGTGACTCAGAGAACAAGATTTCTCGCTTTCGATATAATAGAGGTCCATTGGTTCGGGACCTGCTCCGGTTTCCTGTCGTCTCGTCGGACGATAGTTTGATAAGTTAGCCGGAGACTGTCTCAGGCTGAAGTTATCTTGTTCCGCGTACGCTGTCACCTTTTCCAGCGTATAGAAGTCTCTCGGAACATGTACGTCTTCACCGGTTCATCTACAAGGCCGTAGATGAGCACGCTATTGAGCTTGAGCCCATCAACAGGGTTTTCAGTTACGCTACTCGCAATGTAGCGCAGGTGCTGTGTGTAAGCGTGCACTTCACGCTTACCTTGCTTTAGCCTCAAGAGTGCAGAACGTGCTCTGAACTCGGCTCTCGGCGGATCAAACGTCTCTTTGAGCCGAGACTTCAAGATCCCCAACGACTCAAACACGTTTAGGTCGTGAAGCTTGAGCCCTTAGACCAAGTCTTTGCCCGTCCTGTCAAATTTGACAGGGCGAATGTGACTTGCAGCTCGTCACCCTCTATGTGACGGGCCCTGATGGCGTCGTCTAACTCGACGAACCATCTCAAAAGGGAATCTTCATCGGTTCCCTTGTATCTTAAATTGTCTATCTTCAAGGTTTCAGGTCGACGCATGTGCGTCGGCCCGCCCATCGACTGATGAGAGCCTTGCTGCTGTAGCAATGCTATGTTCTGTCTTCCGACGGCAAGTTCCCTTGTAGGAACTTGTTGATAGCAGCATGTTGCTGGTCTCTGCATAGAGACTCCAACATAACACTGATGGCGGGTTCGCCCATGAGTACACTCATGCGGCCGACTACCTCCCATTCTGAGTCACTCAGGTGGGAGTAGCCTTCACGTGTGACGTGAAAGCTGTCGTCTTCTACGTCCAACATGTTCATGTTGGACGGACACTAGGCAGTCGTTGGACGGACTACGAAGTGCTACCAGGTGTAACTAGGCACCCTTTGTTTGGGGTGCCGCGAAACTTCTCGTTCACTAGTACGTGCAGAGGAAGCTAAGCTACTTGAACGACTCGGTCAAGTAAAGGTAAAAAGAGAGCTGTATTTAATATAGTTAAGCTATCAATATAACTTTAATCTTTATCTAACAATGTTAAACTACGCCGTCGTATGACGACAACCTGCTCACCACTCATTGTGCGTGTCTAGCAGCGATTGGTGGTAATCTATGGTTGATAAGTCTTTTATCAACCAATCTTAGAGCATCGATTGAATGCTATTTAAAAGGGAAAAATGTTTCTTCAATAACATCCGTCTCTGATATTATTGGTAGAACATTGTCATGCTAGACAATGTTCCTATTGACACCTTTTGGTGTCAATTTCATGTAACGGAATACCCCGTTTCATGCGACTTCAAGGGCGATCCTGTTTAAGACTAGGACCAATGCACAGAACCTCTACATTTACAAACTGTAAATAGTCATGTGCGTGTGATCTAATTAAGCTTTCTAGCGTACAAGATAACGACCTCGTCTAAAGGCGATTCGATTGCTTGGATCGTAATCACGAATTTACATAGTTTTCATTTGATCGTCGGTACCACACTAACTGTATCGCCAAATATCTGCCGTATATATGAGCTTACTGGTACGCCCGTAGATTTTCTGGTACTACATCTAAATTACGCGTCGCTTCAGATCTAAAAAGATTACTTTTTTTGTGTCAGCGTGCAGTGCACAAATGAAAAGTCACGCACTTATTACCATTACAGCCTAATCGTTGCGCACAAGAATGATAAGCAACAGTGACGTACCGACGTTAAACACACAACAATTTAGCTGACCGTTCGCGGCTAAACAATAATCAAAAGAACTTATGAGTAAGATATCATTTTCACACGAATCGTACCTGCTTCTGTACTCAAGTTATCCTTTAGTGACATGTAGACCTTCACCTAAAATGCAAGCTTTGACGCGAGAATGCCCTTCCAAAAAAGAGCCCGCACTTTCAACAACTACTGACAGCTTATAAAAATGGGGTTTTACTGCAACATACTAGGCTTGCATTCAAATGTACATTTCGAACCCTTTCAACGGTGATAGCGACGAATTCATGAAGTCTCAGCGCAGAGCTGATGCTACGACTTTATTGACCGTTGCATACATACAAGGCTCACCATTTAGTAGAAATAGTAAGATAAATTCACGATTAACAATGGAGATCAAAGCGTAGCGTCGTAGCCTATAAAAATAAAAGTTTAGGATACGAATATATGAAAATCTATATTTCATTAAAAAATTGACTTTGATAGGAATTTATTCTCGTGTCTACGTGTTTCAATCTATAGCTCGAATACTTGCAATAAATAACCTTGTCTTTTCAGATCAGACTGCCTCTATCTAAGCACACGAAATAATCACACTAAATGAGGCAAATATTCAGTGCTTCTCTTCCAGTCACATGCGATTTATTTCTATCCGCCTCCTAAGTTTTTGTCAATAAACTCATTCAATATTTCGTGAATGTGCACTCATGTTTACCTATAAAAGTATGCACTGTATCAGAAAGATCGAAGCCGCCTAGTTGTAACTTTACGCTGGCTTGTCATGTAATTGTTTTTACGCATGTCCACACCCTGAAGTGCATCAATAGTATTGCACTACATTTATTAACTTATTTAATTATAATACAGCTCTGAACCGTCTCTCGGTTAAGAATTGTGCATCTCAAAGGACGTTTAAAATGCTACCCATAATTTTTAATCAGATTAATGGGTCATCGCAAAGGAAATTTTAGTTTCGATCTTTTAACGAGCGGGGAATTTATGTTCACCAGAGATGTAGGTAGAAAATAAGTTTAGATGTCACTACAATCTATTCGCATTAAGTGGTTGAATAGTGGAGGTTGTTTTAAGTGGGAAGAAGCTAACAGAGGCGTAGTTAGCTTTGTTAGTACTCTACACCTAGAAGCTTTGCCGGAAGTAGCACAATTTTGAGACCTTGCAATGAAAAATTTCGAGCTGAAGCCACTTTTCGAAGAAACTTCCATTTGTTTCAGCAGTGGAATTAAAAGCGTTCACGACGTAACGCAAATCTTTGCTAGAACACACATTAAACCATAGATTGTTAGACTTGACAACAGCAACGGGATTCACCCTTTAGATCTATCTGCATCACATTACAGATCCTCTATCATCCAAACCTACACGTGATTCTTGCCCTTGCTGTAAATCGCGAAAGGTTTCCTTTCAAAAAAATTGCTTTTATGTACTGCCGTCTTTTCAAGCTTGAACACATCCCTCGTATCAATTTGCTTAGTAAGCTGGACTTGGCCACTTTAAATTTCTCAACACAAAACCTTACGAAATTCAATCCGTGATTCCGGAATAAATAACGTACAATCAATCGGTCTAATTTATCGAGAAAAGGTCTTTAGATGTCCCATCACTCTCGCGTGCAAGAAAGAGCTGCAACAGCTCCTTCTCAAACTCAGGAAACTTCACGCGGCGTTTTCTCGCTACTTTAAGATTATGCGATTCTTTTATTATTGAGAAATGAGGGTGGCCCGTTGGTTTTGATAATTTTGTACTGAAGCTAAAGGTCTATTCTTCACAAAACCGACCGTTTAATTGCTCCATGTAGAACAAAATGCATTTAGCTTCTATTTCTTATAGTGAACAATTATTGGTTTGAGCTGTTGTGCGATGCTGATTTATTTATTGGAGATATTCGATTTGTCTCAGTTTAAACTTTTTTCAGGTTGGGTAGTAGAGTAATAATTTATAAAGTATACGTAGGTGCAATCTTTACTTTAACAGTGATGATCCTGTACACTCACGTCTACAGCAATTTGCACTGTATAAAGCCATCCGCAATCACTTTGTAATAATCGGCTTTTATAAAGATACGACACGTCTACAAATCGCGTAATCGTCAGATTTCATTTAAGTTGCTATACCGGCTATTAGTTCTGGTTGGCTTTAATTAGAAGTCTGTTACATCAATTGTTTGAAACAACATAGTGTAAATGTGGAGTGATATCGACAGCTTTTTTACTTAATTTGGCGCCAAATTTTGGGTCCTATTTTTAGCGCTCATACAAAGTTTTCTATGCGATGTCCTTCATTCTATGTTTTTCATTCGCAACAATTAGACTCCTTTACAAGTTGAAGATGAAAAAATCATGCTAGGTGACAACTGTAGTGAAAACCTTTTTCTGAGAGATTATCTAAAGCATTAATCGTGTAGGCGGGAGCTTAAATATATCACGCGCCTTTTTTACATACACCTTCTAATACCTACGAAGAAGTGGTGTAATTGACCTTTTTCGAAAGGAAAGTTGAGTGGGCGTATTAAAACACGACCACCTTAAGATCACCTCTTTATGTTGTGTGACTCGGATGCGGTCCTTCGTCCGGGGTTATTCACGGTCCAGCTGGGTTGTGAAAAAATCAAACGTAAATCTCGTTGAGTATTGGCTTAATTACAAAAGATTCATTGTCGCTACAATGTGACGCGGTCTTTACATCAATCATTTTCAATACAGGCGCTTTGATGATAGGCTTAAATGAAATTACAAAACGACATTAAGTGGTAGCACCATCCTTGTGCATAACACACTCAATTCGTGGTAGATGTACTATTGCTGTACCTCAGTCCCATGGTAGGTCTCAGGGCGTACTACACGAAGAATTTGCTTCAGACCTTCCTGTGTCATGACACAGTATTTTTGCATTATTTTTGTTTCCAACACACGTTTTCTCGCTTCAGATCGTGTCTTAAAATACGTACATATATAAGTTTACTAAGGCGTGTATATTATAATTCCGGCATACATCCTACATGTGTAAACATTAGTGTTTTTTACACATCATGCTTTATGTATGTAGACAATGCACCGATATTTAAATTAATAAGCGCTTTGTGAATCCTGCATCACTATAGTTGAGTGCTCATCAGTAGTTCCTCACCTTCATCCGAAGCAAAGGATAAAA